GATTAAGGCTTCCTTTAACTAATCTCTTCCCAAAACACAGATCTTCCCTTCCAATCACCAACCTAAGAATTGTGAAACCCACCTATAACCTACAAGCCCTGTTTCTACATGTCCCACCTTTTTGGGTCAGACCAATGGAAATTCTTTTCATTAAATGTTGTCTGTCAATCTCAAAAACAAATAAAAGGAACCTCTGTACATGATCACCCCGAGAAATGCATGTATGCCTCTTTTCCAGGCCTAGGTCACTCACATTTGGCTTTGAAATAAACCGCATTAATTATTCATTTTACAGTTGGTTATCCTCCCCCCCACCCCAACCCCCCCACACACACACACCTTCAAAAATTCGTGGAATTTCCCAAGTGACAGGAGTGTCTTTGTTATGCTAATAACGTGACTCATCTGTGCCCCTCATCATGGCCCAGATAGTCCCAGGATGGAGGTGCTGGTAGCTAGAAAAAATGAATACTTGAATAGAGGGTTGGAACTTTCAGGCTCAACCTGACCTCCAGGAGTAGAGAAGGGCTAGAGTTGGAATCAGTCACCAATGGCCTATGAGGTCATCAATCAAGCCTTTACAAAAATCTCTTGATTAACTAGGCTTGGAGATCTTCCCGGTGGGTGGCTGTATTAATGGTGGGGTTGTATGCCTGGAGAGAGCACGGAAACACTGTGCCTAGGCTCCAGCCCCCCTCGACACCCCATGTACTTCTCACCTGGTCTGTTCATGTATTTTGTACAATTAACTGGTCATTTTAAGCATAATGTGTTCCTGTATTCAGCGAGTTATTCTAGGGAATTATTGAATTTGGAGGGAGGGCCCTAGGAAACCGTAAATTTGTGATTGGCTGGGCAGAAGTGAGGTAAGCGTGGGGATCCCATTTGTTGGCTGGTGAGAGAGTGGAGGCAGCCTTGGTGGAACTGAGTTCTTAACTATGGGGTCTCTGTGCTAAGTCCAGGTAGTGAGTATGAGAACTGAATTGAATTGTAGGACACCCAATTAGTGTCTGAGAACTGATGTTAGAACCCTTTGCCATTCTGGGGACAACCAAGGGCACAGACTACCATAGCTCCCTTAGCAACTAACAGAGTAGCACAGAAGAGGCCCACATATCTATTTCCTGAATGAATGGTCAAACCAGCGAACTAATGAATGAGCTTGCTTGCTTCAGAGGACTCATCTGAAGTAGCTAAGAATGGTTATGAACAAGAATAGCACCAGAGGTGAACCAATTAGCCCTGTGAAAACCAGCAAGGGCTTATCTTAATGGGATGCAACTCAAGACAGGCAGTAACTGCTCCCTTGCCCTGCCATTCAGTCACACTCTGCACCATCCACTTAGTGCTCTCTAGGGAGAGTAAAACCATATTATGCAAGGAATCAATATTGCAAGCATCATCCTTTTAATTCTCTGCTGTTTTGTATCTGGTCAAAATTAATGCTGGGAAAAGCCCTTGGCTCCCGTTGCACCCCTCACTGTGAATCTCTCCCCCTGGCTCTGAAGGCAGTCATAGGGAAGCCAGGTGCAGTGCACCTTGATACCAGTGTCATTGTGGGACATTCCAGAGTGTTAATTTTGGTTTCCAGGACCAGGGTCATGGGCAAGGCACCGAGTGAGCTGTGTCAATGCATGGCTGTTGCAGAGACCAGCTTTGCAAAGGAAGAGTTCACAGCTTGGGGCCTCTGGTGGAGAAACTGTCTGGCTTGTTTTTATCTAGAATCCTGGGCTGGGAAATACAGCGAATGGATATGCCAGCTCCAAGGACAACACACTTTCAGCTGAAATGCAACATCCCTTCGCAGGAGCTTTTGCTGAGTTCAAGTGTCTCTACTGTTCAGGTCAGGGACAGTGTCTGATCACCACTGATGTAACAGGTAAAATTCCATGGCCCTTGATTTTTCCCAGGTGGAAGGAGTCTGGCTGGCCTGTGTTCTGAGTTACTCAGCAGCCAGTGCAGGACCTGGGTGGAACCACCCCCCAGGCTGTTCCTTGGCTTGCTCCCCTACTCCTCTGACTTCCCCCGAGGGGGGCTCCCAGGACTGTCTCTCTTCAAAACTCAAAGGCTAGTGGTTGGAGGGGATTTAGACACATTGAAATTTTGCCACTGAGGCAGAGCAGACAACCCAGTGTTTGCAGGCTCAGGTCACCCTGCTGGCCTTGCACACATAGAAGAAATGTCCACATGGAGAAGTGCATGCTCCAATGTGGTTGAAGGCTGCATAAACGCTATGCACAAAGGAGTCAACGTGGCACAGGAGTTTCCCAAGAAATGAAGGACAATGCAGGGAGTTTTGTCCCAGTTTGGATCTGATCAGAATTGAGACCCAGCGATAGAACCACCCTGGAGAAGTGAGGATAGGGGGTGCTGCCTGGGAAGTTAGAGGCTGGATAGTTGGGTAGTTGAAGTTCTGCTATCCCTACAGTCTACACCTGGAGGGACCAGCAGCTCTGCCCAGGCTGTCCCTAGGGTAGCCCAACCACTGCCTCTCGGATTTCCCCTCGCCTGCGGCTCCCCTTTCCCACTGTTTCTGGTGCTCTTGTCCAAATGGTGTCAGCTGCTTCCTGGCTCTCTGTCCCTTCTGCCCTGAATACCCTGAGCCTCATCTCATTCTTCGTCAAATGACCCCTTTTCATCTTCCACATTATCATGATGTCACCCGGAAGCTTAGCTCAGTTCCTTCCCCTTTGTCCTCTTGCTACTTTTATTTATTTTCATCGCAGCACCAAGCATAAACTAATTGGTTTGCTTCCACAGGAGGGACTAAGCTCCTGGCTCAACACATTTTTAGCAAGTTGTAAATTCCTTCCATTGCAGAGGTCTCTGGCGATTGCATATGTAGGGACCTGGGGTTCAAGGTCAATAGTCTTAACTAGAACAAAGGAGAGTTCCATGGGCTTCAAAAAGTTCATGAACAAATGGAATTAGGTTGGAGTTTATTTTGTTGTGAATAAAATGGAAGTCCATGCATAGTCTTTGCATAATACTCATTGTACACAAACTTTATTTTAAAAAAAAGAATTATCTACTAAATTTTATTATTATATTTTATTAAATTTTATTATTATTATTTTAACTTGCTATAGGGCTTGTATATTCACCAAAGAGAGACAAGGAGAGAGGGAAAGTGAGAAAGCAAGCTGCCAGGTCTAGGACTCAAACTGTGGCCCGCCATGGGAGAGTCCAAAGTCCTAACCACCATACCACCTTTGGCCCCTGTACATAAACTTTTTGAAGGCCCAGTATATGTAATTTTTTTTCTTCTTGTTACATCAGAATGTTTTAATTATCATGAAACTTTGTTAAAATACAGATTTCCAGGTTCAAAATGAATTAAGACTTGTTAAAAAAAATGTATGAGTGCTTCGAACCATACAAATCCGCTGTGTCTTTATATACAAATTCACTGTGATTAATAAATATGTCACTGCAGCTTAGCTCTATGAACCAGTCCCTGCAAAAGAAGAGAGCTAAAGGAGCTGCGAAGACTTCTCTTTGACTAAGATGAGCAGCATCTTCACGAGTTACAAAGTCACAGGCTAGGTGGTTTCTTCAGTCATTCCAAACCCACTTTTCATCATTTCAAATAAAATGTTCTATGTAGTCCATGGCTGCCGCATGCCAGGCTCACAACAAAGGTGGTGATAAAGCCAGGGAGCCAAGGGACTGTCATCAAAAAGCTACATGGCATATTTCATAGAGATGGCCTTTGGAAGCATCTACCATGACATGTCCAGGGAAAGCAAATCCACAGACAGAAAGCAGATGTGTGACTGTCAGGGGCTGGGGGTTGGGGAGTGCAGGCATGGGGTATCTATCTTTTTAGGGTGATGAAAAGTTATAAAATTAGATGGTGGTGACAGTTATGCACACAATATTCTGAATGTGTTAAAGGCCACCAAAGGTACACTTGAAAATAATGAGTTTTATGTTATGTGAATTTTCCCTCAGTTGGCCAAACAGCAACCATGTCTTACCTTCCTTCCAAAGGTTTGCTAAAAACTGTGCAAGTTGTTTCCTAATCTAGATATTGAGAACTGGAAAGGACTGCCATTTTTAAAGTTGGGAAATGACCTTTCAACATCACCACAAGGGGAAGCACAGGCAGAACTGTGTCCCCCCAAACAACGGACCCCTCCTGACCCTACCTGTTAAAGGATTGGATTTGTTGGCAATGACAGAATCTAGCTCAAAAGCCTTTTTTGGGAGCTGTTCAGTAAATGCTCAGAGAACACTTGAGCACACTTAGGCAAGATCAACCACATAGACACCTCACAGATAGACCTTCCCAAGACAAAGGGACAGTCACAGGACTCCAAAAGCCACTTGAAGTTTTAGTAGCATAATCACCCATAGGATACATTTCAATATTTAATCAAAAGGAAGCCTTCTGAGTTTTTAATTTGAAGATCTGATATCTTTGAAATGAAACATTTCACAAATTCCACTGAAATGAGAAATACTTTATGCCCCCCCCCCTTTTTTTTTTTTTAATGAATGATTGGTTTTGGAAAGTTCTCTTGCCCTGGGAGAACAAAGTTAAAGAAAGTTTGCAAGCTTAACATAACAGATCTGATTAGGGAATTATTTAGTGTAGCTCTGTATGTTTTGTTCGTGGTATACACACACACACACACATATATAGTCAGCTATATATGTGTGTATAAAAACATTTATTTCCTGTGGAAAGAAGGGTTTAACTCACTCTGAATTTCCTTTTTCCATGATTCTAACACTGAATTTATGGTGATGCAAAGCTCATAGAATGTTGTGCTAACACTTTAAATGGCTGAACATCCAAGAAAGAAAATGATTAAAACACACACACACACACACACAATTTTCTTAAAGTTACAGAAAAGTAAGTGGGCACAATGGATTGTTCTGAGCTGGGAGGAAAACTTGGGCAACTTAGCACAGGTCCAGACACTCACGGAAAGCCCACAGAAAGGACCACACCGTGACCAGCCACCAGAGATTTGGGATGGTAGACTTACCGAGAGCGTCCACTGGCGGGGGGTGCACGGTGAGAAAGTGCAGGATACACAATTGACACAAAAAGGAAAATAATACAGTCAAATTGGTATCCGAGCTGCAGCAGCCTTACCTTTCTTTCATGTTTCACAGTCAGTCCACTGCCTGCCATCAAATTTTATATTAGGGTGATTCCACCCACACCCAGCAGTTTCCCTCTCCAGCCCTGCTAAGAGTCTTTTCTTCTCATCTAAATGGAAATCTGCCTCTTTACTAATTATCACCCTGGAGAATTCTACAAGGATTTTTAAAAAGAGAGATGAAGACTATATACCCAGAAGAAACCAATTCTGATGCCTTAGTAAGAAAAAAAATCCTTTCAAGTATAATTTAGCATAACTCGAAAAATATCTAAGGAATCCTAGGAAACAAAGTTGGGAAGAAATGAACCTTTTTTTTTTTTTTTTTTAATGAAAGAACTTTTTTTTTTTTAAAAAGAGATTTTATTTACTTCACATGAGTTTTGCCAGAGAGAGGGAGAGTTAGAAAGCAAGCTATCAGGTCAAGGACTCAAACCGTGATAGCCCATGTGGGAATTCCAGCGCCTTAATCACCACACCACGTGCTGGTCCCTGAACAAAAGAACTTTTAAAACTTTAGTATCACAGCAAGCACGTCACTAGCGTGGAGCTCTGAGTCTGTATATTATACTTATACTATTGGCTTTCAGTCTCTGTACAAAATGGCAGATTTAACTAATTAATGTCAGCTTGATAGTTAAAAAATTATACTGTTCCAGTTCTGTTTCAAAGAAAGTCCCTGATAAACTTTTAGTAGGTGGAAGACTTTGCCATCATTAGTTTTAAAATTTAAATGATTCATATGGGAGTGAGTTAAATGAGATACAAGGCAGCTAACTAGGTATGGTAAAGTGGCAAAAGTAGATTCGCTACTGAAAATCTCTCCTGTTTTTCATCCTCACTCCTTGCCCCAGATGGGTCATGGCCACCTTCAGGACTCCCAAGGCAATGGGCTGACAATGAGGCAGGAAGGGGCTCAAGAGAGATCCTTCTGAGAGCAGGGCTATTGGGTCGGCTCCAGACCATTTCCCCAGCTTCCTGGTACCTCTGCCTACCTCCTGTCAACAAGGCTGCCTCCACCCCATGCCTTGGACCTTGTGCACCAGAGCAGAGATTCTCTGACAGTGGGGATCATCTCTCCAGCCCCAGGTCCCGCCTCATCTGTATTCCTGTACTCCTAGTGGGCATCCTACCACCCTGCCTTCAGTAAGAACAGGCACATTCACCAGGCTGGAGCACATGCCTGGTTACTTCCAGATGATATTGAGCTCAAACCTAACAGCAGACAACACATTTTTTTCTGTGATGAAAAAATTTAAATAACAGTTATTAAATGGTGGAAAAGTCATGATGCATTTTTGCACAGAAAAATACATCATGACTTTTCCACCAACCTTAGAGATTACAAATTACTTCTCTCTATAGTAAAAAAAGATCAAAAGAGAATGCGATAAAATGTGGATGTACAGAGTAAGAAGTAAGGTAAATGAGTTGCTCAGAAAAATCACCTCCCATATGCATATGCCCGTACCAAAGGTGGTGCTACCACCATACCTACATGCAGGAGGCATTTGAAACTTGGAAAAGGAGATTCAGAAGAATTTCTAGCTGATCAAAGATCACAGTCTTTGAAAAAACGCATGGCAGAAAGCTGCCTGATAAAAATCTGAAACGTGAAAAGGGAAGCGATTTTGTGGCTGCTAAGATCAGATTCAGTTCTATAAGGACACACACACACAAATGAATCTCAGCTCTATCCACCCTAAGACATGGTGTAAGTCTCTAAAGAAACATATGAACACTTTCGTAAGCCAAGAGTCCAGGAACCTGGCACTTGAAGGAGATGAAGCAGATGCCTCGAGAGTTTTTCTAGCA